TCCATTTTGTTGTGGAGTGCGAGGAGCAGAGAACTGATGCATAATGCCATGCTTATCACAGAATTTGTCGAACTGAAAGTTCTCAAATTCTCCCCCGTGATCACTTCGTATATATACTATTTTCAGGTTAAATTGGTTTTGGATTTGCTTGGCAAGATTTTTAAAAGAGTTGAAAGCGTCGCTTTTAGCAGATAAAAATAATGTCCATGTAAAACGAGAGAAATCATCAACAATAACTAAAGCATAGTAGCTACCACCAAAACTCATGATTTGTGATGGTCCAAACAAGTCCATATGGAGTAACTCCAAAGGTCTTGAAGTGGATATCACATTTTTGTTTTTAAAAGAATTTTTGGTTTGTTTACACTTTTGACAAGTGTCACAAATCTCTTTAGTTTTGAAATTTAGTTTTGGTAGCCCTTCAACTAGTTGGTTTGATGACAATTTATCTAGATGTTTTATATGGATGTGTGCAACGCGTCTGTGCCAGAGCCAGATGTCATCTTCTTTAGAAATGAAACATTTTGAAAATAATGTGGTGACATCATCCAAGTTAACCATGTAAATATTATTTATACGATGACCAACAAATTTAACATTATTAGATAAAATGTCACGAATGATGCAACAGTCAGAATCAAAAGATACTCGATTACCTTTGTCACAGAGTTGACTTATACTTAGAAGATTATGTTCTAGTCCTTCAACATACAGAACATTTTCAATTTGAGTATGAGATGAGTTACCAACTGTTCCGGTACCAAGTATCTTTCCCTTATTGTTGTCTCCGTACGTGACGTATCCTTTTCCTTTAAGTGATAGATCCAGGAAATTTGATCTGTCACCTGTCATATGTCTCGAACATCCACTGTCTAAGTACCATTTTTGTCCTTGTGTTCAAAGACATACCTGCAAAATAGATCACCTGCTTTTCTCAGGTACCCAAATTATGTTGGGTCCTTTTCTGTTAGTGATTAGGGAATTATCTCCCTTCTTTATCCATACATAAGCCCCGCTAGGTATACCATATTTTCTAATGTAACAAGAGTAAGAAGTATGACCATACGTATTACAATAAAAGCAAGTAGGAGAGCGCCTACGATTTTTATCCTTAGTATTAACTACAGGTTTTCTATATGGTCTCTTGTTTTTAGCAGAGCGAGTATAACCTAGACCAGTACGATCACCAACATTTTTTGTTTGACTGAGCAGAGTGTCTAATTGCTGTTTACTGTTTGTGAGACGTTCGAGTTTTTCTTTTAGTTTAAGATTGTCTTCTTGCAAAATCTCGCAAGTCTCACATACAGGCTTTTGACATAAATTATCAGCAGAGCAGTCACATGTGTTACAAGAATAGATGAGATCTAAAGTTTCATTTTCTAATTTTAATTCATCTAATTCTTTTTGTAATTGGCTTAGTTTCTTTTCATTTCTAAGGATTTCCCTTTTCTTATCAACATTTATTCTAGCCAATTTCTTTAATTCCTCATGTAACTCAACATAAGCATTATATAAAACTTCATAAGAGGGTAAGTCATCCGAAGTGGATGAGGTGTCGGAATATACCTCATCATTATCCTCGTGTGAGTCTGAGTTGCCATTGTTGTCAGATCTGACCATCAGACACAACTTCGCTGACTCCTCCTCACTAGAAGTGCTTGATGTTGTTTCCTCCTCAGGTACATCCCATACAATGTAAGCTTTCTTGGATTTGAATTCCCTGGGAGTGCTCTTCTCTGAATCAACCTTTTTCAGATAGGTAGGACATTGAAATCTCATATGTCCGGCTTTTCCACACTCATGGCAAGTGAAGCGATCTTTGTTGTTCTTGCCTTTGTTGGTTGACTCTTTCGCTTCTTTCTTCTGAAACTTCTTGAATCCTCCTTTTGTTTTGATGAATTTGCTAAATTTGCGAACAAGGAGATTCATAGTTTCATCATCTAGATCGGAGTCAGATTCATCATCATCTTTATCTTCTTTTGATTTGGAGGTCGTGGCCTTTAATGTGATGTTTTTCTTTTTCCGATCTGAATCTTCGTGCATAGTCAAGCGCCCCAATTCCATTTCGTGCTCTTGAAGTTTTCCAAATAAAGTAGCTAGAGGCATAGAGTCCAAATCTTTGGATTCAACAATTGCAGTTACTTTTGGTTGCCATTTCCTGTCAAGACAACGCAAAACTTTATTAGTTAATTCACCTCTGGCAAAAGATTTATCTAGAGCAACTAAATGATTAACAATATGAGTAAATCGCTTTTGCATATCACAGATTGATTCACTAGGTAACATGCGAAATAACTCATACTCATGGGTAAGCGCATTTAATCTAGCGCGCTTGACTTCGCTAGTGCCTTCATGAGTCACTTGTAAAGTGTCCCACATTTCTTTTGCATTTTGGCACTGCGAAACTCTAAAGAACTCATCATAGGATAGGGCCGATGTGATGATATTTTTGGCGCGTAGATTATGCTGCACCTTTTTGCGCTCATCATCGGTCCATAGACTTTTAGGCTTGTCTTTAGGTTCATTGTCCACAAGATGTTGTGGAACGAAAGGGCCGTTGACTACGGATTCCCAAATATCCGAGTCTATGGCTTCAATAAAAATTTGCATGCGGACTTTCCAGTAGGCATACCCTTCACCACTGAATATAGGTGGTCGATTAATGGATGAACCATCACCACCAAATGGGTTTGACGAACCCATTCGTTTTTCCCTAAGGATCACGAATACGCGGTTGAGCTAGCACTTCGCACTAGCTCTGATACCACTTGTTAGGTATCAGTGATTACAATACACCTAGAAGGGGGGGGGGGGTTGAATAGGTGTAGCGGTTAGAATGTCCGCTTTTCGAAAACAACACTTAATGCTGAAAAACACCTTGATTAATCGATTAACGAAACAGGGTAATCGATTAACACTTTCAACACAGTCCACTTAATCGATTAACAGACTAAAGTAATCGATTAACACACCACACTTAATCGATTAAACCGAGACAGAAAGCAAATGCAAGTACAGTTTCTTGCTCGACAATTAATTGATAATGAAACGATTATACCAGGCTTACAGAATATTATCAAAGTACAAGTAATACAGCATAGACACAAATTATCAATTAAATCTACTTGACAAAATAATCGATCAAATGCAATAAAGAGATAGAGATAGAAAAAGTCCTGCAACAAGAATTTTATCCTGGTTCGTTTGCTTGTCCACCGCAAACTACATCCAGGCCTCCCGGCTGATTTGGGAGATTTTTCTTCACTATAATTGAATGAATGTTAATTACATACACACTATCCAATTACAACAATTAGACACTTACAAGATAAAAAGAAACCTATTCTATGGTTTGACTCCCTTCCTACCGACAAAGAAAACCTTTCTTTCGGCGTAGCCCCAGCCAAGAACCTTGTTCTTTACTTATCCCTAAGTCTAACACTCAGTGAAGACACACTCAATCTCTTGGTGATATGACACCTTGAGATTCCCACAATTACAACACTTTTTCAAACAAAGCAATACAGAGTAAACTTAAGCTATAACAAGACTTATATCTAACAAGATAAGGCTTTACTCTAATCACCTAATACAAGCTCATGCAGTATGAAAGATGTATTAGTGAAAAACAGAATGCATAATGTGTAAACATCTAATCAAGAATCATGTAAAAATGCAAGAACATGTGACAAGAAAAGATGAGAAATGTATCATGAAAAGCACTCAATCCTAAAGCATAGAATTCTCTCTTTTCTAAGCTCACAAATGCATTTACAACTAGATGCAACAATTAACACGAAAATATGCTCTAACTCTCTAAAAATTTAACATGCAACTTATGAGATCAATTCTGAAAATGCAGTTTATAAAGAATTGAAATAAAAGCCCAGTTAATCGATTAACGACAGCTTTAATCGATTAAGCTTCACAAAAATGTTAGATTAATCGATTGACATTTGTTGTAATCGATTACACTGTGCAAACAGTTAGATTAATCGATTAAGCCAAGTGGTAATCGATTAACAGCACACTTTCATGTGTAAAAACTTCAAATATGTTATGCACTTAAATTCATACATGTTTAATACTTAGATTATGCCTAGAATGCACATGTACATGTATTTATATGATGCATGAACATATTATGAATGACATATCTCAAGATGAAAAAGATTTAAAAGATTTATGCAATTGAGATATGTATTAGGTGACTTAAGCCTTGGACTCAACCTAAACTAATCTAGTCTAAGCAAGATACCAATCGGAAGGCTTAAGCATGTTGATTTGTTGATGATCTTCAAGCTCATGTTATCACAAGTTGTCCTCATCAAAACCAAGTCATATAAGGAGAGCTTTCCAAAGTGTTCCTCTTGACATGCACACTTTCAAGTGTAACAACTCTCAGTAATCGATTGCAAGTGGGTAATCGATTACCCAAACATCCTGTCCAACTATGTTTTCAAAAATTACTTGGTGTAATCGATTACACACTTTGAGTAATCGATTACCCAAATGTTCTGTCCAACTGATTTTGAAAAATTACTTAGTTTAATCGATTACATACTTTGAGTAATCGATTACCCAACTTTACAGAGACTAGTAATCTGTTACTCAAAGACAGTAATGGATTACTCTGAGCAGTTGGATGTTGGATAACTTATTTCTCACACATGTAACCTGTTACTTAAATACAGTAACCCGTTACATACTATTTTTGAAAATTGTTTTGACTATCCTTTGAAGTGTTTCAATTTTTGTTTTACAAATATTTTGAGCATTACTACTAAAGTATATTCGAGAGTATAGGATAGAAGTACCTATTTAGACGTAGACTATTTTGTCTTGAAGCTTTATCTTCTTTGTCTGCATAAGTATTCCTCCTTTCTTATTTTTGGTGATGTTGGTGTCTTCATGAAAACCGTGCCATTGTCAGTAGCAAAGATCTTCTTCACAGATTTTTTGTGTAATTTTTTTATCTTTGATATACATTTCAATTTTCGGGTGAACGACGGGAATTGAACCCACGCTGGGGGGATTCACAGTCCACTCCCTTGATCCATTTGGCTACATCCCACCCCTAATACAATGTAAAAATAATCTAAATTTTGATTTCTACCCCTTCATTCTTTTTTTTTTTAATTAAATTGACATAATAGAGGTAAGTGAATCAATCAAGTAGTTAAACTCTAAAGAAATATCCTTATTTATAGTCCAAGACCATACACATTGATAAATAAATTTTCTATTGATTTGATAAATAGACAGATCGATCTACAAAATCATGACTATACTTCTAAAAAAATACTTGGAAAATCCCACATAAGACAAAGTTTTTTTGCTATCATGGGAAAAAGTAGGAGCCCCATTCCTATTAATAATGAATCAGAACTGGAATTAAAGTTATGATCCATGAGGATTGATGTATATATTCCATTAAAAAGAAAATAAAGCATACTTTTTTTTTATTCTTAATGAATTTCGTTTGTTATTCGCCAGTTTTATCTCTTTTGTAAAAGGTTCGGTTAATAAACAAGTAAACATATAAACAAAATTATCTATTATTCAATTTTCTAAATCTTTGTGCAATACTTTCAATATTGCCAAAATGTTTTCCGATTTTTTTATATAGAAGTGCACTTTTTGGAACTTCCACTCAACTACTATAGTTTTTTCAATTCTAGATAAAGTTCGATGTGAAAGAAATTAAGTAGCCATATATTTTATCTCTTTAAATTACCATTTTCAATGTTTTCTATGTTAAAGTAAAAGGTTGAATAACAACCATTTTCTAACAAATTTTATTTTTATATTAAAATAATAAATATTATTTATCAATATCAATAATAATATTTATTATTTTATTTATACAAAGTTTCCTTTTTCATTTCAAAAGTTATTGGCTCATTTTGATTTTGTACTTCGCTTTTGTTTTTATAGCAAAAAAACAAGAAAGTTGAATCATCTGAATTAGATGGGTTCAAAGAATATGTTCTAATATACAATAGAGTAGTTGTTATAGAATTGTGTATAATTGTATTTTATTATTAAATTTCTTATTAATTATTAAAAAAATTGTATTCATTTACTTAAAAAAATTCAAATTTTAATAAATAAAATAAATTAGAATTCTTGTTTATTAGTTTAATGTTTACTAAAAAAATATAACATAAAAATAGGTTATTATGATTTTGAGTAAGCCGCAATGGTGAAATTGGTAGACACACTACACTTAGGAAGCAATGCTAGAGCATCTCGGTTCAAGTCCGAGTAGTGACATGTCATTTGATCTTCGAAAACAGTAAATCCTATAACGAATCAATTCCCAATTTATATTCTATTCCTAGTATTATGATCTTTCTTTGTTTTTATTTTATTTTTATGATATTTTCAACCTTAGAGTATATATTAACTCGTATATCGTTTTCGGTCATATCAATTATAATTTCAATTCATTTGATAACTCTATTAGTAATGAAAACGTTGGTTTATATGATTTGTCCAAAAAGGGCATGATACTAACTTTTTTATGTATAACGTAATTGTTAGTTACTCATTGGATGTTTTCTAGACATTTACCATTTAGTGATTTATATGAATCATTAATCTTTCTTTCATGGGATTTTTCCATTTTCCATTTAAGTACAATAATCTCACCAAGTGTTTTGTTTACCCAAGGTTTTGATACTTCAAGTCTTTTAGCCAAAATACATCAATCCACAATATTAGTACCTGCCCTTCAATCCCATTGGTTAATGATGCACGTAAGTATGATGATATTGAGTTATGCAACTCTTTTAGGTGCATCATTATTATCGATAATTATTTTAATTTAGTCATTACAGTTCGGGAACTCATACAAATTGTTGGTAAAAGCCAATGTTATTAAAACCATACCGGTTATCAAATCGGTCAGGGTACTGATATAGTGGTACAGCGGTTCAACCAGTGGTTCAGTAATTAAATCGCATGCCTATTAAACCGGACATACTTGCTTATATATATATATATGTGTGTGTGTAAACCTATAACAAAAAATTTCAAATAAGTAGGTATATAGATTTATAATTCTTATTCATAATCTACTCCAAATTCACACAAACAAACAACATTAAGTCTTTAACAAAATCAAAGTCTAAAGTACAAAACATATATTAATCCAAAATTATCACTTAACAAATGCAAAATACAAATAAATGACACAAGTATTAATCATTGAAGTTGAAAAATTGGTGAAGAATTGAAAATTTGAAAATTTTAAAAAAAAAAATAAATGTACAAACCGGCCGGTTTAAACCGGTCAAAACCGACCTGTTCACCATTTTTGACCGGTTTTCAACCGGTTTTGACCGGTTCTATTGCATATGCAGTATAACATACGTACCGTACCGGTTAGGGGTCCGGTTCACCGGTTTTTCGGTTGATCCGGCTGGTACGGTATGGTTTTTAAAACATTGGTAAAAGCAATAATTTATATTTTGTTTTAAACGAATTCTTTTCTTTTTCTGAGATCAAATACATAAATCTGAATTAAAGAACAAATGTTTTAAAAAAGGCTTCAATTTTTTATTATTTAAATTATTACAAGTCTCAATTTATTCAACAATTGGACCATTGGGGTTATCATATTATTGATCTAGATTTTATCTTTTTAACAATATGTATTCTTTCAGGAGTAGTATGGAATAATGAGGCATAGGGATCATATTGGAATTGGGATCCAAAAGAAACTTGAGCCCTTATTACTTGAACATATTCGCAATTTATTTACATACTCGAAACAAATTGGAAGGTGTAAATTCTTCAATGGTGATCTCAATGGTGTTTTTATAATTTGGATATGTTATTTTGGGATCAATCTATTAGGAATAGAACTACATAGTTATGTTTCATTTATATCTAATTGAACTAAGGTGAGTAAAAAAAGGAGGATGTGACAAAATACAAATATAGAAAACATATAAAATTCCCATAAATTGTTGAGAACCCTTTAAATCAAATTCATTTTTAAGTTAATCTAACATAAAATTATTATCATTTTTTTCATTATGAGTAAGATTTAATTCTTTTTTTTTGTTTTATCAATTTATTCATGAAAACACTGGAAAATATTTGACAGAATAGCTTCAACCTTATCAACCAAAAATGATAAAATAAAATCCGGATAAATACCAATACCTATTACGGGTATAAGGGTAGAAATCGAAGTAAATAATTATCGCGGTTCATAATAAAAAAAATAAGAGTTTGGTGTATTAAAAAGCTTTTATCCATAGAACATCTGACGTAACATAGATAAGGAATAAATATGAGTAAATATCATTACACTACAACATACTTTGTATTTAGTGGAGGTTTTTTTTGCAATTAGTGGAGGTTTAACCTCCACAATATAACTAGCGAAGGTTTCAGAAACCTCCACAGTTATGACCTCTAGATGCGTTTAGCGGAGGTTTTAGAGAACCCCTAGTATTGACAAATTTAGTGGTTTATTAGTGGAGGTTTTTAACCTCCGCTATTTGAGGAGGTTTTTGACCTCCACTATTTGATAAGGTTTTTGACCTCCACTATTTGACCTCCGCAATTTGAGGAGGTTTTTGACCTCCGCTATTTGATGATGTTTTTGACCTCCACTATTTGAGAAGGTTTTTGACCTCCATTGTAGGATTTTAACCTCAAATTAATTTCATAATTTAACAAATTTATTCTCATTAATTTATAATTATTATTTAAATATACAATACTAAATACAAATGCTCTTAACAATATTAAAATTTCATTGCAAATAACTAAAAATAGTCTCAAAAACAAAATACTGAATGTTGCTAAATGTAGAGTAACATAATTGAAAGAGTTATAATTCGTACTTCATTATAAATCCAAATACACCATAAAATCTCAAAATATTAAAAGCAGTCTCATATGACACTTTAAAAAGAAAATACATAACATATATCCTAAATGTTGCTAGCTCAAGATGATCCTCTTGCACCCAAAGGTGTATCAGACATACTTGCATCATCATTTGCCTGAAATAAGACTAGCAAATCAAAAGTCAAAGAAGCTCATATGTGTAGTCTAAGTCTTTTAGGTAAAATGATACTTGAACTTAAAATCTCTTAACTATACGATAAAGGCTGATCTTTGAAAAACTCATGCATGAAACTAAGATCATTTGCACTAAAGCACAACAGTGTAATCGATTACGCAGTCCTGGTAATCGATTACATGCTGGTAAACAAATCAGACATGTGAATTTTACATGATGTAATCGATTACACCATACTCGTAATCGATTACAACATATTAAAAGCATCAGATATGTGCATTTGTCACATTGTAATCGATTACACCATGTTTGGTAATCGGTTACATCAAGCCGTTGAGTTTGTATTTTAAATTTTTTAACTGGTGTAATCGATTACACCATATGGTAATCGATTACACTTATCAGAACAGTATACTGGTTCTGTTTTGATTGAACTGTTGTAGCTCTTAACTTTTCACAAACTCATACTGGTTCATGTGCACGAATTAAACACTATAAATAGGTGTTCCATGACTTGTTTTAAAACACAAATCTGAATACAACTTTCATACTCACAAAGTCACAAAGTTCTCATAATTTCTCTCATTCATTCATAAGTGTTAAGACTTTGATATCAATTTTCATATATTTCCAACTCTCTTTAAACTTGCAAAGTTTTAAAATAAAAGTAGAAATATTCAATTTAAGTCTCTACACCTAATTCACCCCCCCCCCCCCCCCCCCCCCCTCTTAGGTGGCTATATATCCTAACAATAAAAAGTAAAAGGATGGTGTAATTACCATCTCACGCCTTCTTCTTGAATTTGGCTTAGACCCACCTGTATGCGGAATTACTTGCTTCTTTCGAATTTCTTTGTTTTTTCTACAAAGTTCCTATGAAAAAAACAAAGAAAGTGAATTAAAAATACTTGACGAAGAAAGTCTATATATAAATGTTTCCTTATACCATTAATTGAAGGAGATAGCAGAGAAATAATAAAACTCAACTGTATTGGGATTCTTGGTTTCACTTTTTCCCTTTTTCTAACATCTCACAATTCACTTGGGTACATGGTTCGCCACCTTTTATGACAAATCCGATATGTGGTCAACAAGTGAATCCGATAAACAATATGTCGGGTGAATGAGAGAATTATTTAACTATGACTACAACTAGATATAAGTGCTACTCATCCCTACACAACACCTAAACAAGATATATAACATCACAATTAGAATACTGATTTGTGTACATCAGCAAACACATTGCCATAACATTCACAAAATAAGAATATGAATGTGTAAGAAAAAGACACAAGTGAAATCAAATAAAATCTACAAACACACAAGCAAAGGCAAACATATATATTATTGCATTAATGTCAATTTAATCTTAACATCAATCTAACATATTTAGGATTAGAAAAAGTGAAAAAATTAGGGATTTCAACATATTTGGGGAAACAATAAAAGAGTTAGAAAAATGAAATTAGAGATTTAGGATTAAGGATTATAGTATAAGAATCATCTAATTTAGAGATTTTTATTCAAAATTGAAGAGAATCAAACCTAAGAAGAAGCTTTGACTTGGTTAGTGAAATTTCCAATATCTTTGAAGAAGGTTTTCTTCCATGATAACACAACAAATTCAAGCTTTATTACCTGATTGAATGAGAGAAAATGTTTCAAGGAGTGAAAAAATTACTTGAATGGAAGAGATGATTAAGAGAGTGGGTGAGAGAGAAACCATGAGAGTGGGAGAGAAACAATGAGAGTGAGTGAGACATAAATATAAGAAGAAGAAGATATAAGGTTGATTTTGATGAGTATCACCATAAATATAGTGGAGGTTGAAAACCTCCATAGATTAAATAAAAACCTCCACTATTTACCTAATTAATTACTCAAATCACCTCATTTGATTTATTTGTGGAGGTTTGAATAACCTCCACAAAAAAACCTCCACTAAATACAAAGTTTGTTGTAGTGTTACAATTGCTGTTACAAAAGTAATTAATATTGTTTTCATTAAAATATATTTTTGGCTTGTAATTATTCCAAATCAATTGTAAATTCTGCAAAAAAACCACTCATGCTCGACAATGCAAGAGAAGCCATCGAAAATATACTAAAAATCGTTAATATTTTTGGCATTGGGATAGCCATCCTTCCCATTTCGTTGAGTCTATCATAACCAATTCCCACCAAGAAAAAGAGCACGTTATTGATAAATCCATGAGATATTATTTGTA